CAACTATATACGCGCATATCCTTTCAATACCCCCTTCAAAAATTAAGGTATGTAGAGTTTTACAAATGTCTCAATAGGTTGAAACAAAAAATTCATCGATCTCTTTTTAGAATAAATATCAATTGCACAAAAGGTTTGTAAATTATAATATAAAATTCGAGAAATACATATATTTATTTAAACCTCCTACACTGATCATTAATAAGAGATATAAGAAGGTTTTATAACCAATAAATGGAGTTGTTGAAGGAGATACTCCAATGTTCGTCCAGTTTAATTTCCCAGGGGTCTGGTGACACGTTGGTAAGAACTGGCCATTTTTTTAACAACCCGGACCTGGGATCGAGTCCCATATTGAGCCGTTTTTATATTTAAAAAATATTTTTTGACGGTTCTCCACTAGCAAAAGTTCAACCCCACCAGCGAATTGATGTAAAACCTACTTGATTCTGGTTACTTTGTAAGTTCAAAGTTGAACTGTTTTATAAGTTCTAGACATGAAGGTTTTTTATTATCCCTAGTACACACGTGGTACAGGCCATGTTAACCATGGTGGTTAGTTAGTGACTGCTTAAGTGCACAACATGTCTACACATGTGAAGAGCAGTTCGAATTTTGTACTTACAAATGTGCCAGAGCCCCGTTTGTATACTTGCACTCGTTGGTGGGGCTTTTCTTTTGCAAGAACCGGGGGCTATTGGAGATTTTTTTTTATTATATAAAAGTTCCCAATACGGGATTCGATCCCGGGTCGTTGCGGTCGAAAACCAATGGTTTTGACCACCCTTCCACCGATTCCCTGAGACATGGAGGTAAACTCACAGTAGGAGCATGTGAAAGCTTCTGCCTACCATGTTTTTTTACCGTGTGTACTTTGAAATTTAACAACTTGGCCAAGCCATGAATAAATCTCTAGTATCCTCACAATATTTACTTACGAACTATGGCTATATAAACTGTAGAATATCTAATACATTATGGGAAATATTTCAAAAGTGAGATTTCACTGGGATCAGGTGGATACATTAATGTTGGATGTTATATAATTAACATATTGATTTTTATTTTATGATTATATTAATCTGTGACTTCATATTCTGCGGTGTTGAGCTTGTATATATATATTTAAGCTAATATAGAGATGAGAGAGGAAGGTGTGAGGTAATAGATATAAATGTTATTAGACAATTGACAATTCAATATATTTTATTGACACTCTTAGTTAATTGTTACAAAAATCAAAGATAAATTAAACAAAGATAAATGTGATTATGTACAATTTGGTGATCAAAATATATGAAAAGTTGTTCTCAGGAAGGGAGGCTCCTCCACCTTGAGGGAGCCCTCCTCCAGACAAGGACAGGGTCTCTAAGTTCAATGTTGAGATGATACTTATAGAGACACGCCTTGGCAGACGCCAGGATAGCGTCGTCATAAATGTTATTAGAAAGATGTTATTTTCCCAGTAAGACTAACTTATATAAAATATAGAAATTTATGTTCGTTCATTATTTCTGTACATTCAATAAAGATTATTTTTATTTTAAAAGATAGTAATAATTGTGATCCACCCAACAATTATAATTAAAAATTAAATTATTAATCAAGAGAGAAATCGGATTTGGCCAATTCTGGATTAATTAAAAATCAACGATTAGTTTATATGTATTCCAACACAGCGCAAGCCATCAGTAACTATTTTTTGAACGATCAGAAGATGCCTTTTTTCTTTTTATCTAATATAATAGTTTAAAAAAACGGTCTGATAGCTATAACGGACGAAACTACTGAGATAATTCACCAATAATAAGTCCAGCCTTAACGCTATATGTGCAATGATTTGTTGGTAAAAGAACCAACTTCCTTCTCAAATTTCTCAACCTTGGGTATTCTGGGTGATTCAGTGAACTGCATCTAAGTGTTTTTTTTTTGTTTGTTTCTAAGGGAGAAATCAAATTTTAATGCAATGAATAAAAATTGAAAAGGTAGAGAATGGCCCACCCTGGTGAAAATTAGTACCAGTTTTCATCAAAGGCATATACTGTATATTGAACTCAATAAATTCTTCTTAAAATTGCAAATATCTTAACTTTTTTATATAAATTTATTTTTTAGATTTATAAATTCAAGTGAATATATTTAGATAATTTAATATTAATATTTTGCATATTCTATGCGTTATATTTATAATTATTAAAAGCCTTTTAATTGATTTGGACCATGCACAGCAGAAAGCCAGCACATAAAAATGTCACGTATGAATAATTTAAACGCGGTCCATTGTAAATTGCAGGGTGGGTTCACACGTACAAGTAATGGAAGGAAATGTATTTTCAGGGCATTCACCTAAATGGCATGTGGAATATATAAGCAGATGATGTTTTCATGGCAGCATTAGTTTACTTCTATCTCTCCTGGCAAAATATATTGGAAGCACAAGAATATAGGCCATATATATAATGGTGTGAGTGTCATTCCTTCGCTCATTGGAATTTTCTTGTTTCTTGTACGCAGTTTGTTCATTTTTCTGCAAATATCAGCGCGCAGACGGGATCAAATTAACTTATATGTTACTGATTGCTTATAATGCTTAAAAATTAATTAATATTTCGGTCCCAATAAATGTACAGTGTGGCTGAAAAGTATAGACCTCAGACCTTTGGCAATAACTCAGTGAAATGAAAACATAATTGAAAATTTCAAAAGGCATATAAAATAACTAACATTAAGGAAACAATTTATTAAAGAAACTTATCGAAGTGGACTCCTTTGGCCTTGATGCAGGCCTGGAGGCGTTTGGTGGAGTCCACGGTGGGCCGCTGGTATTTGACGTCGATCTTGGCCCACTCTTCTGCAGGGCCTTCTTTAAGGACTCCAACCTTTGTAGGGAGAAGAAGAGACATTTTTCTCTAAGTAACTCCACACGGAGTAGTCCATCGGATTTAGATCCGAAAAGTTTGAAATCCACATTTTTTTGCACAAGAACCCAGGAAAATGCTGATGGCAGAAGTCTATGGTCGATTGGGAGCCATGGGCCCAGTCTTACTGGAGTACAAAATTACGACCGGCGAAGTGTTGTCGAGCCCATGGAAGCAGAAAGTCCCTCAGAATGACGTCGTGTTAGACTTGGGAGTCCAATTTGACATTTCGATCAATAAAACCCAGCGGGGTCTTGTCTTCAGAAGTGACTCCGGACCAGACAATGACATATTTCGTTGACATGTTTCCTGGAAGCCTTGTTTCCTGGAGGCAGAAGCTGACGGTGGTTTTGGGAGTTGTGGGCGCTTCAACTGTGAAAATATTCTCGTCCGTCCACACAATGTCGGAAAGCCGACCCACTCGGATAATTGAGAGCAACTTCTTCGCCTTGTCCAAGCGATTCTCCATTGCAGCTTCGTAAAGGGTCTACCCACGGTAAAGACGATAGCTGCGAAGTCCCAGGTCGCGTCACGATTTTCTGCACTCTTTCCAAGAGATTCCGAGGTCAGAAGCAATGCGATTCATGCCGACGCCGTCATTCGGGCAAACCTCTTCTTTATGATCTTCCGTGTTGCAGAAGTGTTGGCCGTCCTTGGGCGGCTCGATTTTGGAAGCAGTCCATAATGTTCTCGCTCCCGGTATTTCTCTACAATCATCCTAACAATTCTAGCGTGGATCTTGAGCTAGCGAGCGATGTCTGAAGGGCAAACAACTTCGTCGGTCAAATGCGCAATCGTAGTGCGATGAGGTGAAGGACGTATAATTAAAAATAAAAGACGTTGGAATCTTTGCTTTCTAGGCACACTGTTTATTACAATTGGCCTTTCGAAACACTACGAAATAACGCGCCCACGCGCTTTATATACTGGTCTTAAGTTTATGAATAAAGAGAACCATACTTTTCCATAAACACTATTTATATATGAAAACATTTTTAAATATCAACAAGTTCATAAAAACTCGATTTCAAATTAACATTTATGATATAAAAACAAGTTTATATAAACTTAAATTTATATGAACATTTTTATATCTCAAATAGTTCATAAAAACTTCAAAAATATACATTAATGATATTAGGTCCCACAAAATGTATAAAAATATAAATTTATATTACGACGTTCCAGTACCAGCAAGTTTATATAACGCAGTTTAGCTATAAGGTAGAGCCGATATATATCCAATGCGGGAGTTGAAGCTATGTTGGATAAAGAAGAGGGCAGGATAGAAAGCTAAATGAAATGCAGAGGCCGACACTTAGGACCAGAATGGAAAATTAAATGGGCCGATCCATCAATAGACGCTCCACCAGAACTTTATTTAAAGTGAAGTTGTGAAATTAATTCTGTAGAGAGAAAAGTCTTTAAGCAAAACCTCTTTTCCTTACTTGCCGCGGTTGTAATACTAGGTCCTCTACGTTGTCAACTACAGGATCTTGATGTAATCTCATCAATATCTTCACCGATTCTTGACGTTCTACCTGTATCATATTTCTTTTGTAGGTTTTTCTTGAATATTGGGCCCAGTATATAATACGACAATTA